ACGCGGATACCCGGTTTGGCGTGACCAATGTGACGCACAAAGTACAAACACAAAATACTTTTGGATGGATTTTTCACTATGGGCACAAGTGACTCCGTCACAGAAAACGCAAATATTCCGTCGCTGTCGCAGGCACTGTTTGGGATACTTGTCGCTTAAGGAGCAGGTGAAGTCGCTTCGACGGACGGGGTCCGCGTGTCCGGGATGCCGGCAGCATTACCTTCAATACTGCCTTCAACTCGGGCAGCTGGTGTCGCTGCAAGATCGGCGGTCACCTACAGGAACTCTTGTCGAAGACGCGATAGTTCACATCGAAGGGCACTTACGACGTTTTGTAACTCGATGAGCCTCTATCGGAGACGAACTGCAGGTACGCCACGCTTTGTGCACATCAAGTAGGAGTTGATCCCCAAGCCTTCAATAATGGAAGACGATGCAAAGGAGATGTGTGGGAGTAGAGGAGCAGAGACGCTTCCTGTTCGCAAGACGCAACCCGGGCGCCGATGGGGGCCAGGTACACCTCCATGTCGCTAACCATAATCGCTCCATCTGGGCGAGAGTGGTCACCATCGCCCGCTCGCAGCAACGTCCAGGAAATGAGGTCCAGCCAGTGACCAGTCCATTCCAGTGCAAAGAAAATATCTGGATATTCAAGAGGAGAAAGAAAATAGGGTAGGGCCAGAGAATTACTTGAATACGAGTATTACCTTCTACTAAGTCTCCTCTGAATTTATTGTGGCCAGAATGGCTTTAATGCTGATTACTAGGGAGCGGATTTCCATGATTTTGCATATTTTTGCCCGTTCCTTCAGGGCATAGCCAAGTGAAATTTCTTGATATTTGGTTAGAATTGGGTGCTACATAGATTAATATGTTAGTGCATATTTGGCAGATTTTCCTGTAGGTGCATATTCGTGTAATTATAGGCGCATACTTTGCATATTTCATTAAAATAGAGACTTATCTCTAACCTTTTTTCTTTTCACAGAATCTGTTTATTTGTGAACGTTCATTGTTTAGAAAGAGCTCGTCACAGTTAAGTTTTGTCTTTTCAATTGATGATAAAATACTTGTGCAAATGTGTGATATTTCGTGATATATTTTTTATACCAGGCAGAAGAATTTTAATATGACATACAATCTTCTTATATGACATACTTCATTAAGGTGAATTTTTACTTCAATTATTTATCTCGCGAAACAAGATCGATTATACGAGTACTGTATTTGGCCATGCTTCTCTTGAAAGTTATCAAGAAAGGTATATGCAGGAAATGAAATATTGTTAATTTACATTACATATTGAAGTGAATATTTCACAATTTGCAGATCAGAAATGCAAATTTTTAAAAGCATATTTTAAGTGATTTAGGGCATCAAATACTGTCCTTAGTGATTACTAACGCAAACATTCTTCAACACGACGTAACTTATTTATTTATTTAACATCAATAAACATTAAAACTGTACGTGACGTATGAGAGGAAAGTTCAATCTGTAATATACATTATCTGCACCTACAAAAGAGCTTCACATTTTAATAACACTGCTGACGAAATAACCCTTTCCAGAATTTAGCAAAAACAGGTTCAGAAAATACAAAAAGAGAGTCAAGGAACCATTACTGAATTTGCTCAATGGATGAAGAAAAATGTATCTTTTAGCGTAATTGACTTTATGGTGGGATTACCAGCGAAAGTCTTGATTTGATTTTATCACAAAAGTAAACAAGTTATTGATACAAAAATTGCAATTGAACAACAAGAAATTGAATTTTTACGAGCCCATTAAAATACACACATATTAACATAAATACAGAAATAAAATAACAATACAGGAAGTGAGAAGAAGGACAAAAGTGTATTCACAAAATGTTTTCACCAATATTTAATTGAAGAATGTACAAATAATGAAATTTAATTGTTACCATAATGCAAAGAAATGGTCTGCGCTTGAAGCCTATTCGCCAATGATCAACACATATCGCAGTCCACTGCCATCACCCTCTTCTCTCCACTTTTTTTACTTCCTTTCTCCACTCTCATGTTCCACAAATTTGCTCCATTTTGTCCAGCTGTTTCTTCCCACTGACATTCTTGAGTTAGGATATCGTGATTAATGGTCCTTGCAGCATTACTGCCCATCGCCTAAACCGTAACTGCTCATCCCCAAATTAGGGGTCAAATTATGTTTGCCCTCATTTCTCTCCTCCCAAGTAGACATGCAATGCGATTTTCCCTAAAAGCCAAACTTGTACTACGTTAAGGAATTATACATGCATGACAACACACGCGTTCGCACAAGAACATGTATGAGTACAAACAAAAAACGCACGAGCACACTTACCCATTCACATATACATACAAACATAAACTTTTAACTTTTTGTTTACAATTTATAGAATATGAACAATTTTCAAATTAAACTCTATTGCTTTCCTTGAATATGGTAATAATCTAATCTGTTCTATCTACCTATCTATCTATCTATCTATCTATCTATCTATCTATCTATCTATCTATCTATCTATGTATCTATCTATCTATCTATCTATCTATCTATCGATCCACCTATCGATCTACCTATCGATCTATCTATCTATATCTGTCTATCTATCTAGTTATCTATGTATCATTAGAACACATTCGGACAAAACAATTTTGCCAACAATAAAGAAATGAACACATATGGAAATAAGAGAGAGATAATCCTAAGGTGTGCGAGGTCACCAGAAACGAGAGCGGCGCGCCCGCCACGCGAGCGGCAGGCAGCATGCGGGGGAAGTAGCAATGGGCGACGGACGAAATGCTGCGAGTGGCGTCTGGCAGGCAGCGGTCAGCGGGCGGTAGGCGACGGCCGGCGAGTGACGAGCGAGAGGCGGCAAGTACTCGTGGGTGGACATAAAGGAAATCGGGCGGGGCGGACAGACACGCACGATGAGCAGGGCAGATGGCAGCCACGACAGGCGAAAGGGAGCGACATGAGCGGCAACATAAGAATATGTGCTGGATATAATAATGGTAATAGCAATTTCGCTCTAGGACTAATTACTCATCTTTTTTTGCAATTAAAAAAGTTAAACAATGATTTCCTGTACGTTAAAACAGATCATTACGAGCAAATGAGTGCTAACCAATTCACCATTGTTCTTGGTCGTCTAATTTCACTCACACCCTTATCGGTTGATTTCGATTCCCAAACTTTTGAATTTAGACGTGTCTCTGCCTCCTCGTTACGATGTTTGGAATGCAGCTTGATATATAAGTACGCACGATTCTTTCCCTCCAAATCTTGTACTAGAATATACGGTTTGTTTGTCGCTATAGTACAATCAGTTTAGACCTGTTATGTCGTAAACTATGCTACACAGTTCTCCAGAAACCACACGTTTTGGCGAGTGTTCGCACCACTCGGAGCATATATTTTGAAAGTTACAGATCTGTTAGCGAAGGTAACTACACATCCTATCGTGCCTCGTCAGTTATTCGGAATTCGTTAGAATTGGGGCAATACGAGACATTATTAACGGGTTTTAAGGATTCCTGCCAAATACGGTATTTATCATAGTTGGAAATTTTGATAACACATTTATCATAACGTGTTATATCACTTAACATCATAATTATCAATGCCTGATCTTGGGTAGCTATTATAACTGCTTCCAATTCTGGCTTCATTTTTTCCTTTAAAAGCCACAAAAAGGGTTGGTCTTCTTTGATCTGTGTCTTGTCAAGTTTTGGTAGGCCTTGTCAATTTTTTCTAGGTAGTGTCAATTCTTCGTAGGTATTGTCAATGGACTGGTTTGTCACTCCTCGATTTCTTTAAACATTTTGGTTTTTCATATTTTATTCGACTTAAATGTTAAATAAAAGATTTTGCAAGTCATGGATTGTATTAATATACTAACTTGGAGGAATCTCATGAACATACATTAAATATTTTATTGTGTAATGATGGAATTGTGGATTCATCGTAAATAAGTCATTATTACAACGCAATGCACAGCCTTTGACTGAGAAATACTCATCTGTTGCGGAGGGTACCCCAACATCAAGGTCCCTCAGAACCCAATAGGTGAGTGGTGGAAAGTGGCGCGATCTTTTGCAGTTTAATATATTCTCTTGCCTTAAAGCATAGGGTGCTCAGGTATTTTGTATGTCACTGATTATGGACCCTAGAACGGCAATTGCTACTCGTACTAGTACAACTGTGATCCTCCATTTGTCGGATCATTTCCATTCTATATGGAAGTCACATGATTTTGTAATCTTTGACGATCTCTTGGTACCCACCGGAATCTGTAGGGATGGCCATGTTCACCATCCATGCCGACTTTCATTCGACGTCGGAGATAAATGGCAATCGATGATTTGATCGATGCAATCTGGAAATCTCAGAGAATTTGTGTATACGAGTAGCGAATCTCGGTCGTCTTATCACGTTTTTGCTTTCACCATTGAATAGGTGCCAAGCCATACAGTGGCCACTCCCTCATGGCATTGTAATTTGCCTCTGCAAACTTGCTGCAGGCACGAACTTGCTATTGGCTCGACCGGCCTTAGTCTTTAAATCCTGCTCTTGGGAGCTACAACCAGACCGTACGTCGTCTTAAAGAGAAGGCCGTCCAAGGTAAGTTCACCGTCTACCTTCTATTCGATGTCTGGGAAATATTTTCGTGAAGCCGCTCGCCCTGTCATCTCGCACGGTATTCCTTGTTTACTCTGTTGATGAAATAGGCGCATCCTGACCGGATTGCAACCAGCTTCCTAAGGAACATATCGGTGCTTCTGCAATAATATATGCTTTATTTGATCAAACAAATAACAATTTACATTTGCACAAAAAGATGTGATACAGGAGAATGTGTTTTTAGATCATATCTGGAATACTATTATGGCTGCTATTACCGCATTACATTATTACCATTGTTATAAGTATTTGTTGTAGATAACATGATCGCTCCAAGTAACGAGTCATGTCGCGAGATCGTTCGCGCTTCGTCAACGGCCGAGCGAATTCACTTGCATGCGCACGTGTCCACGCGCACACGCGTGCGCCAATAGGCCGCCGAGATGTGTGCGGCCTCTATCTCCGGTCGAGAGGCCCCGGCTCGCGCTCCCCGAGGCGGAGTTCCCAGCCCCTCCGCTCTCTCCTCCCAGCTGCGGCGAGGATTTTTCTAACGTGGAGGTCGCAGGTCGCGGGCGCACAACTCGGCCATTGAGCGAGCGACGAGGCCGTCGGGACGCGCCAATGCCGCGCGGGGACGGTGATTGCGGCGGCGGCGGCGGCGGCGGTTGACGCAACGCGCGGGACAAGGCTCGGGCATGATCGGGGTGGCGAACTAGGGACGCAGTCGTTGATATGCAGAGGGGAGGCTTCACTTCTTCAACGTGCATACGGAGCCCGTTAGCTGCAAGTGGAGATCAAACTTATTAGAACAAGTGGGGGAATGAAGGATTTAAACGAAGGATTTCTTCCTCGACTTTAATTCGACCTTGCCCAAAGCCGAGACATTGTAGTTCTCCAATGACGCGGAGAATATCTATTAAGTGTCAGCTCTGCCTTCAATAGTAGTTTTCTCCAAGTAAGTAAACTGCTTGTAATCTTCAGGTGATCTTATCTTTCCATCATGCTTTCAAGAACGAATATGTATGCAATCTTAATCTCTCGCTCTCTCAACGTGATTTGATATAATTTCGTTAGGGTTGCCCGTAATTACATTTCCTACAGAACAACTAGGAAATTTCATCATTTAAAACAAATATGATGGAAAAACTGAACGGTTCGAAAACTGAAAGACGACGTAGGATATGAAAAATACATTAATGTATTGCCAATACATGAAATATAATCATGAGAAGAAAATGAAATCTTTGGAGATGAACTTTTCCTTACTGGTATTAATAAACAATTTTCAATGTCGAAAAGAAATAGTGTAAAAAGTCCTTGGAGAATTGGGTAATCGCTCTTTTTTTGGGTCTTTGTAAACTCTGCAGTGAGAGTTATCATCAATAAGATAAACAAATGTTGACCAATAAGGCCATTATTTAAAAATATTGTAGCTTCACAAAGATAACTCAATCCCTCGATACTAATGACACAATAAACACTGCGTTGACATGGCATGTAAACAACGTAACTGAAATTTTAAATAGGTAATAGAAATTGGGGAGTAGGCGGCGTGAGTCATTCTTGAATATCCGTTCACCGTCGCCCGCCACCCTTTAGTTGTCTGTCAATTGCCGTCTGAGGTCTACAAAGATAGGATCTCTGTGGTGAATGGTTCCGAGGAGGAACTTTACTATTGAAAATGCGAAGGGGTAATCCGTTGACACAATGAGTGCGCAGCCATAAGGGAAATAATTCGACTGTTTCGAATCCTGAAATTTGTTGCACGCGTTGTTATAGACCGTTTTGGTGAGAGGAAAACATTATACAACAAACCGCACAGCGGCCCCTCTCACCTTTTAAATGTGCAAGATAGGCGGATCATTGATGGTTATGTGAAGATTCATCCTTGGCGGCAGACCTCCTACATAGCGGTAAAACTTTCACCTGGTACTGTGTGCAATTAAGACGCTTTGCCTGTCATGGAACGTTCCCCAAAATAAATTTTGAGTCAGTAAATTGTAAGGGCAGAAAAGCAGTATTTGCAGAATGTGAATTTTGGGTATGTCGGAGGAATGTCGTATTTTCATACGACAGCAAATTTTCCATTACTGAGTGGGATGGTAGGACGGAAGAAAAATACACGTAGATAATATGCTTATTTTTTGTTATATAAATTGAATTGAATTTGCCTTATTTTACGTGCCGAGACTCGGGCCATCAGACCCGCTCTTCTGTCTGACCACGCAAATTTCGCTACGCTCATTTCATCAACTAGCAGAGAAAAGAGGTATTTCTTGGGCGAGAAACAGGCGATTTTTGAATTTAGCTCAGAGGCGTCATTTAGGCTTGAGGATCTTTTACATGCAAGTAAATGTACTAACATGGGACAGCCGGGCAAGTAAATCTACTAACATGGGACAGCCGCCTTTACGTCCCCTCCGAAGGAAAGCGTACGAAGGATTTTGTCGCCCTAAAAATCCACGGCTTCGACCGGGTTTGAACCGTCCGTATTAACAGCCCTGTACGCTAACCGTCACACCATCGCCGCCGCCCATAGGGCGGTCCCTAGAGCGGGCCTGATATAAACCCCTTGGGTTATCAGCAACATCATTCTCATTATATTTGACAATCACTTTAGAAACTCAGTTTCATTAAATTAAAGATATCAGTTACGCTTTCAGGAGAAATTCAGTATTGCTTAAATTTACAATAGAATTTCTACTCTAAACCCTGCTACAGTAATACTTCTGCTGTAATAATTTTATTTCCTTCAGGGACTTCACAATTATATTACATAATTACCTAACATTTAGTAGGTGAGTTAAGCTACAGTACTTTAGAATCTTGGACTCATATTTAAGCTATATAAAAATGTGTTCAACTGAGTAGCCCACATTGCATCTGTCGCAAATGGTTTCATTGAGAGATTGAGTGTGTTTCCGGGCTGCAAAGGTCATTAGTACAAAGTCAAAAGTCAATTTAGTTTTCATCGCGGGAGGTGGCGGTGATCTTCCCTCACTGAATTGCTAGATCCGGTGCCGACGTACACTTCGGCTTAAGTTTCTTTCCTCAACCAGGTATTTCCCAGCAGTGAGGCACCACCCCATACGAGACAAGCTCTAAGCTTCCGACGCGTCTGCCGATGTGTGGTAGTGTAGTAGCAAAAACTACGTGTTTTGAAAAAAAATTGCGCAGGACAAGTTATTTTGAAGAAGACAATTCACTCAGAGAAAAACTTCTATATTCAATATCGGATTGTAAGAGGGGATAAAACAATTTTTAACTTTCGCAATTTTTGAAATTTCAGAACTTTTAATGAAAATATGATCTGCGGCAATTTGTAAATCGTACTTTGCTGTATATGAGCAAAAACACTGAAGCCATTTTTGAGAACGTTCTGAAAATTACTTAGGGACTTAAAGTGCTCTAAAAATTATACGAACCATTTCAAATGGGTAGGGCCGGAACATCATTCAGATTGATGGGGAACCGACACGGATGTTTTGAAAAAATAACTTTTTTAGTATCATATACCCCCAAAACCAATTGCCCGCAAATTCTCGAAATCAATTTTCGAGAAATCACTATATGAGGGCAATTTCAGAAGTCATGGCAACTATATTATATATTCCGTAATACCGCATATGCGGTTATTGCACTATATACATTTCAAAACAAGGTATACACAGTACGGGATGCGACCACCAGACGACGTCTCATTGCATTAGTGTCTAGTAGGCCACAGATGGAAAGTAAGGGGGGATCTCTGCATTGAGTCAAAACGAAAACTGGATGAAAAACCTCATCGAGGTGGGGGTCATTCACCAAGATAACATGACACAGTCATTGACCCGGATAATACAGGAAGTCACCCAACCCATGTGGATATACGACACTTTAGCGAGATGCGCTCGGGTGTTTAAAGAAGCATTTCAAATATGAGTTTGAAAAAGACATTGATCATAAGGAATAATTTAACTCTTGCCATCTTTGATTGCTGCAATTTAGAATCTGCAGAACATTGCCTCATTTCGCAACATTATAATAAAAAGGAAATTTCATCACAATTTAATAGCTTGTTTAAAAGTGTTCTGACATCGTTTTATCGATCTCTCAAAAAATAGTAATCTGGCATATTTCGCTATTAAGGTAAGCATATGTTCATACCGTAGGCGGTTATAAATCGAACGTTATTTCTCGCATGTTTAATAGTTACCATTTGTGTTTCCAAAAGTAGAATTTTTTCAACAAATTTCTTCCTGATTACTCTTATCATGTAGCAATGTCATATTGTATCTTCCAACTACTTCTTCATCACTTGTGAGGTGCGGCATCTCACCAACGGAATCTGCAGTGACATTAGTTCCCGCGGTAGGCCTCCAAGACTGGCAGAAAGTGTATTTCCGCCGAGACTCAGCAACATCCTGCTCAGATACGACCGCGCTTCCATGGCTCGTAATGAAACGTGCGGGAGCAGCTATTCTCATGAGCCTCCCTGATAAAGACCCTCGATAGTGACACGAGCAGAGGGGGAACGGCCCGGATCATGTGATCTCGAGCATTCCGCTCAACCATACAGGAAGAATGGCAGACGCAGGCACAAAAAGGACACGTGGCCGCATTGCGATGAGTTCTCATTCTGCGGCGTTTCACAACGACTCCGATATTTATGTAGGACAACTTTGGAACACGGGGTTAATCGATGTTCATTCCATAAAAGATGGTACTTGGACACGAGGGAGAAGCGGAAATCGATTGAAGTATGGTAAGAGTGTGACGAAAACAGTGGCAATGATTTGAGTGGTGGTGAGGCTTGCCCTCGTCAGAGCCATTTTTGCGTAATGAACCATTCCGCAGCAAGACTGGGATGATAGCGATTATGACAAATCATGTAGTGAAGTTGAAGTAGTGACTAGTTGCAATGGTGCTTAGTGAAGTTGGCGACCTGTGATTATGGTGCTTCCCGTGGAAACTATTGCTGTGGTGACGCGGAAGTTCAATCTTCCCTATTGCTTGCGGGTATGGCAAGTGACGTTTGCAGACTTTTGTAGAGTGATTGCGTGAAAATATGATTACAGAACCTGTCATGATAAGTTGTGGTCTCCACTAAACGAGGTTTTTCCTTGAACACTTTAAGAGAGAGCGTGAACGGAGTAGTCACGAAGATCAAAAATTTATTATTTCTATTTCTTGGTAAGTGCACATATTAGCACTTCTTACGGCAGTTTTGTCAACAGAAAAAAATGTAATGATAGACTGTCTGAAATTTTCAGACATATCTGGACTTTTTTTAAACATATTTTTTTGAATTGGAGTCATATGTAGTCGTATGTATACGACATTCATACGTAGAGCTCAGGTGGCACCTTCCGCATTCATCATATGTATTCACATTTAAAACACCGAAGCATTATCTCGGATTCCGATGCCCGACACCTTTGGTGTCAAGATAATGTTTCTAATATCCCTGTATATCATGTGCATTCCGTACGATACATAAACTTTTACAGGAAATGAATTTGAATGAAGAAGAACTGATAGTACTCGCATTCTCTGGCGAAGTGACGGCGCATAATAAGTCGTTCCAAGAAAATACGCATGCATTCCGGCGTGGATTTCTTTTTCTCTGAATGGTCGTACCAAACGCGGGTCTTTCTTTGCCTTCGCCTCAAGCAACACTAACACGAAAGGTTTTATTCGCTTTTCGACTTGGAAGATCTCGTCGACACTCAATAGCTACGACAGAGAAGGCGATAAATTATGGTAGAAAACATCCCAAGAGAAATCAGAAACGTGGAGCAACATCTGATCCAGCTATTACTTCGGCCACATGTAACCTTCGACAACAGTAGCTCTTTCGGAAAGAAGCTTTCTAAATGGAATTTATCACACAAGAATTACGCACACACAGCAGAGAAGCATCACTACAGTTATAGAAACTACGGATTATAGCAGAGGCAGTTGAAATAATTGGCGGAAGTTTTCTGAGCTCTCATCCCTTCGGTTTCTTGCGCTTGCAATTCAGAATTAAAAACTGTGGAAGACACGTTTCTGGAAAAAAATTAAAATTTGTGTGCAGGAGTATTTTCACGCCGAGAATATTCTAAATGATATTTTCAAATTCTGCAAATACATACTATTTCACAGTTTAAAAATATTACATCAAATATTTAGACCTTTGGATGTTTATTTTGCAGAGAAACATCGTATACTATATATTATACCAGAAGCACAAATACGACTGAAAGAAATTTTATTCTCATATCGGATTTACTCGTGCTTCAAAATGATCTGATGTTAACGCAATATAATATATCGCACTGAAATTAACTCTTAAAACTGAGAAAATAGCTTATCCGTGATCATCAATTACTCAGGAAGAAATACATCAAGATCTCAAGGGAAAGTGCCCATCGCTAATTAGTGTAAACAGGGTGTATAATGACGACTTCAGGCGCAGTTGGCACAGATTGTAGCTTCCTACCGCTTCCTGTAGTTAGCGTTAGTTTTTAGATTAGGAAATAAGAATTGTTGTAAGTCATACAATACAAATGAAAAAGTGATGTGTACTGAACTATGCACTTCCGAATCAAAAATAAATATGTTGAAAATAAAAATTAAATAGTGGCAATAGTGAATGGGTGTTGGACACTTAATTAAAATCTTAGTATGCCAAGGATTCGGAACTATATTTCCCTCATTAGGGCATAGAACACATAATTACACTATTATTACACAAGTATGTTACAGAATTTGATAGAATACGGGTACATACCAGTGTACAACGAGAAAAGTAAGCACCAACAATAAACACGAAACTTATTTTGCTTTACTCTTACATCCTTATTTGTATTCATCTGGGTGGATGTCCCCGCCATTTCACACTAGATTATTAGAAACATATTAACACTTTCAGATAAACTCACAAACATAAGGTGAGGGATTGGCCGGTCAAGATGGCAAAGATTATTAGCGCAGTAGTGCCGTAGCGATCTCGGGCCAGAAGATAGCGGGTCCGAGTCCCGCCTCGGGCATAAGTGTATTTGTGTACGTCTATATGAGTGTGCCATCCTTTCATCCTTCGCTATCATCATCATCATCATCATCACCATCTCATCATCCACACCCCCAGAGCTAACAAAGCGCAGGGCGAATGAAAATCGAGATTCAGCGAAAATGTTGATACCCCACGCCAGAAAGGTACTTGCACCTGCTGAAGCAGGATGCGCGCGTGGTCCGAGTTGGCTTATACGCGAAAAAAGCAATGAGGGATTCGAACTTGTGACCTACGAACGGATATCGTTGCGGCGCTTGAGTTGTTGGGGTCTTGGCAACGCAATCTTACCCTACCGAATATTATTTGGCTACTCTTTCAATGTTAATTGAGTTATCAGAATATCTTGTTAAGCTCCAAAACTGAGGAGGGAATAATCGATGTCCAATAAAATGCGTATGTACTATAACAAAACCTCTTGGACTTTAGCATTTTCAATATTTGGCGCCTTTTGGAACTCTGTTGGACATAATATAATTTGTGGAATAGTCCTATTAAATACCACTCGTGCTTTGCAAATTCTCGGTTGAATCCCCTTCTCGTTTCGCGAGACGGGTATTTATCGACAATATCCAAAGCACTCGTGGCATCACCTATAATAAATTCTCTTCCGATGGACATTTTTATTTTCATCGATTTTTCTCTATTCCTCAATTTAGCAACAAAACTATTTATGTATCTACAGAAGGGACACGGCTACTTGTCACCAATGTATATCAGAATATCTTGTTAAGCTCCAAAATTGAGGGGGGAATAATTCAAAATCATAGGCGTTGTGGAAAAGACTATATTTTATGAGAGCCTCAATACTGAAATATTGAGAGCCTTTATTGCGGCTGATGCTGCGTTACTCAGAATGCGCGTGTGCTCGCAAGTGCTCCGATCTCGCCCAAGGATCCGTATACTTCGAAGGTCAAGAAATATCGATTCTAAAAGAAGGGAGGTGCGATCTAGGACGAAACGCATTCTGATAAGCATGTTTTATTATATCTAGAAAAATGAACGGTAGCGATAAAGATAAGGAATACTGTGCGCAGTTTGCAAGAATGCTTGTGCTATCTCCCTCTTTAAAAATATTTTAAATGGACAAATATTCATTTTTGAAGAGTAATAAGATGAACATGAATTCCCTATATAATTAAAATAGTCATTTTCTTCCGAGTTTTGTCGCGTTAGTTTTTTAAGTAGTGTGATATTGAGTCTCGACATGATTTGATGAACAATTTACGAGTATTTTCTACTAATATATATTACGTAAAATAAATTAAGAAATTAAATTAACAATTGTAAATAAATGTGTTGATCATCACGACACAAACAACACGGAATCATTATCATTTATTTGTTAATTTACCTCACAAATGGAACAATATGTACTCAGTATTTTGTAAAACATTTCAAACCGATAATAAAACTAGTAATCTACAGATATTACGTTCTGATATGCGTAATGACCCAGAGTGTTCTAGATACATTGTAATATGCAGCCCTTGTGCGAAAATAGAAATGATAACTTTTTACCCTTACACAAAATCAAATGACAATAGACCATTTGGGACAACGAAGAAGTGTGGTCAATGAAATGTTTATCGTTATCAATACATTGTCACTTCTAGAAAGTGTTCTGGTTTCAAATCACTTCTTTCGCTGAAAATCTCTTTCGAAAAAACTTTTTCCTAAAGCTTACTTCCAGAATGCCAAGGACGCTTCTGTATCTACAATTAGTTTCGTTTTCTGCTGGGTGACGTTTATTTCCTAAGATGTTCGTTTTTCAATGTCCGTCTTGCTCTGTGAAGCTGTCCTCCTTTGTGAAGGCTACGAGAATCCCGTTTCTTGTCTGCAGCTAATGAACTAATGTGTATTCTCCCAAACTTAACGGGTCAATAAGTTGTAAAGAGAAGAATTATATTTTAGTAGGCAAGTCATGATAAAATTAGATAAAACATACAATAGAAGCCTGAAGGGTAGATGTAAGGGCGAGTTACTATTTTCTTAACAATGCAGAAAAATCATACCTGCTATTTGTTTACCGATGCAAATAAGTTTTCTATAACTCGGGAACGAAAATGTCTAGTTTTTTTTTCACTTGTTGCTAATCCAGCGCTTCTTAAAAAAAATATTTATAGTTAATATTATGGGAAGGGATTCTGGAACTCAAGAAAACGTGCGCCAATCATCTTCTTCCCCATACGCCACATACATTTTTGTACTGTTTTGTTGACTAAATAAATATAAATATAAATCTCTTCATCAGGTGCTTTGCATATTGACTGCAATTTAACAGTAACACAATGTTTCCCATGCTTAGATATTAACGGTGACGCGAGGTAACAACTTGATAAAAACCAGGAGGCTAACACAATAGGAGACAGTAAACACAACGGCAGACTGACCTTCATCAACATTAGGACACTTAATCAAACGGGGAAACCAAAAATAATCACTTAGGCGTACTCAGCACCACAAGGGTTGTTGTTGTGGGCTACATTCCAAGGGACGTTGCGCACCAGGTGCTAGTTCGTATAAGACTGAAGCCAGAGCTCAACAGAGGTGGAAAGAAAAATGGGAGAGGGGAGGGGAAATGAAAGGTGAAAACTAAAAAGGATACGAGGGGGAGGAAGGGAGGGTATAATAGAAGCTTACAATTTTGTCTAAAGCAGTATCGTAGAGTTTAGTAAAGATATTCGAATATATTTGACAATTCATGGTGAAATTGGTCTTAATATGAAGTAGTTCCAAAGTCAGCCTACCGGAATAACTATCTTCAACCCCAAGAATGTCAGGGTTCTCAAAATATATCCTTTGTTTCAAACTATTTTTATGATCACTTATCGAATTCTGTTAGAATTAGAAAGAGGCAATCGTTCATTTCTTACATGTTCAGAGATAGGTGATTTAAGTTTCCTTGATGGTGTGCCTACATACACATAATCACAATCCAAACAATTGATTCTATAAACTACATTTAATTTCTTAACTTTATACACTTATCTTTTACATTTGTAACGAAAGTGGCCTGATTTACCGGCCTAAATAAAATCTGCATTTGGTATTTGAACAAAAACAATTCTCTCGATTTCAAAGAAAGACTACCTAAAAACGGTACCGTGATAGAATAATCAATTGTACATTTGTGTTCCTTTTTCTGAAGATATTGGAATTTTTTAAAGGACTTTAATCTGTTGCGCACATGCATTTCATACACTTGGTGGATATCCTGCTTGTTTCAGTCTATGAAACAATTTCCGTAAGTTGTCATGTAAGTTCCTGTAAGCCAATTTTATGGATCTATATACAAGGTTGTACATTATGGCAATTTAGATTTATTTAGTCAAAAATCAGTAGAAACTGCATGTATGTGACGTAGGGGGGAGAAGATTATCTTCGCACGTTTTCTTGAGTTCCAGAATCCCTTCCCGTCATTTTAAGTATAAATAGTTGAAAGATGAGTAAAAGTTTAACTTAATATATAAAAATTAATTTTAAAAATAAATTAAATACTGCAAGATTAGCAATATTTGAAAAATAGCCTTTGCATATTTGTTGTATCAATTGTGTATATTATAGGATAGTCTGACAAATAGGGGAGCTTAAACCACGAAAATGTTGGTTTTGTTTACCAGTTCGTTTTGATTGTATTTCCTTCACTTATTATAATGGTGTCCAAAACAGTATTTAAGCCATTAGACTCGTATTCTACTGTGAAATTTATAGCGGGTTGGTAATTGTTGACCGCATCAATAGTATCCAGAACTTTGTATTTATTCAAAATTAGAAAAATGTCGTCAACGTATCTTACAAAATATTTAAATTTTAATGTTTTTAAAATATATCACTTTCAATCATTCTCAGAACAATATCCGATAAGACGCGTGAAAAAATGCCACATATTGGTAACCCCTCTATTTGTTGATAGCAGATATTATTAAATTTAAACATGTTATTCTGAAACAAAAATGATACAATTTCATTATTTCTGAACTCGTAATTGGGAGAGCAAATTGTCTTTCACTCAGAATCTGGTTTAAAGTGCTCGAAATCAAACTATTGGGGGATTGAAGGGAATATACGTTCTATGTCAAGGGATGTCATGATATCATTTTCATGTATGTTAACTTACCATGCCACTTACCTAGCGTGCAAATACTCAGCAGAAATATTAAAATTGTTGTTAGCAGATGATTACACATACACGGAAAATAAAAGTTTTGAGTTCGTTAAAAATGTGGCAGCAGTCTGGTCTGCTCAAAAGGGCGCCCCATTTGGCGTGCAGTGAGCCGGCGCTTATCTGCAGGAAACCTGCAAGTCCCGCTGTTTGTCGAGCCAGCGCGGGGGCGGGGAGTGGAGGCATAGTGCGGAGAAGGTGAAAGGGGCCTGCTCTAGTCTAGCAAACGAGTAGCACGCCGTCCACTGACGCGAGCCCGCGGGCAGTTTGGTCCGAAATCTTACATTTCTGCAGCCCTGGTTTAGAGGCCACAACAGACATTAAACACCCTCTCCGCGGCACCTTGCAGATAGAGATGCAAACTGTACTTACTATGACGCCTGATTTCATAACTATTAATTAGACGTACTGACATTGTTCAATTTGTCTTGTCACGATCTATTTTTTGGGTTTAAAAAAAATAGTGTTCTATTCAGAGAAAAAACTAAGTATATTCAAAATCTCTTCAGGTTCTGCCAACAGGCGTATCTATACCATTAAATGAGCTCCAGTGTCGTGTATAGTTTGGTGAAAATCTTGTTTTTACCTCAATATGTTGCTCCGTTTAGAAAATATTCGTGTTGAAACCTCTTATTGACTCATCCTAAATAATAAATGTCAAAGATTCGAATTACGAATGATTCGACAACTCTTTTTGATTTGTACCTGCGTTTGGTCTCGTAATCATTTATAATAGCATAAATCCTAAATTTTCCAATTTATAATTAAAAACAAATTCTGCGTTGTATATTGAACAAATTGGGGGAGGTATTTTAAAGAAAAAGAAAAACTTTTTGCCGAAGGATTTGCTTCTTAATTGTTACTCATATGTTATTTGAATTGCACCCGATATACAATATATTTACTTTTCTAAGCTTCTACAAGGAAATTAAAATATCTTTTTATTATAAAAGCAATATTATATTTTTAAATGTTTGCAAATATTTAAGGCAGTTTTTCTTGAGACTGTGAGGTTCTCCGCATTCGACCAATTTAACACGTCTCTGCTGTTGTTACAGCCATTGTCGGTTTGGTACTGATGAAAACTAATCGCTAAACGTTGCCTTTTTGCATTTATTTTTATACTAAAAAATACGTACTTCGAACAGGTATAATATGAGTTATATAATGTTCCAATTAAACACTAGTGGTGCTCCAACATCACGTACCTTTCCGCTTTATTTGTAACAGGTACTTAATATTATAATACTAATTGAGCCTGCAAAAGTGTTTCCAAGCCACAAATATTTTCCGTTTACACTCGGATTCGAATTCTGGTAGTTACGCTCCGCAAAAACTTCACTTAACCGCTTCTCCAAACGACTGATTTGTCTTACAAACGTTCGTAACGCTTCAAAAAGAAAGTTGTTATCAAAAAGTGTGAACATATAATTTTAAATAAAACTAGTCGTTCTACGTCCACGAATGTATTTCTGGTGCGAAATGTTTCAGTTTCTCAGTTTCAGGCCCACGATCCTGTCAGAGGATTAAGTAAAGCGATCTTCAGGGCTTCACTTGCAATCGCTTCCGCTGACTTAGCCCGCACAATAGAGTTGTAAGTTTCACATCGACGCAAACATCCTGTTTTCCACACGGGCAACTCCGAGTCCTCACGCGCTCCCACCGCACTCACTGAAAGGTGAAGGGTGCGCTCCCATATGCTCGTCCCAGAAGTATTTCCAGTTTCTGATGCGAGAATCTAGGCCCGATTGCCCGATGTTTTGCGAGCTTCCAGAACACGTGCATATCAATCGCAGCCGCCCTTCACCAACGATCCCGCAGATTCACATCTCCTGCCTGATTTATTAGGTGAGGTTTGCGAAGAGGCAGCTCAATAATTAAATAAATTTCATTATTTTTTAAAACGATAAATCTCTCATATGACGTATGGGAAAGAAGTATACTGTGTTTCTTTCAGGTCCAGAATCCCGACCGCAATCCTTCAATATACATGTTTGTTGATGCATAAAGGTACCAACAAGTGTGGTAAGAAACCTTTGTAAATAAGATATGTTCGCTTCGGGGCAAAAAAAATTTTCTTGCATCCGCAAAGCAACTACAGATTCGCATTTACTTTCTCGCCCTTAGTTCCTAAGGACAGTAAATATTGTAATCGTCAGCCGGAAGCGGACATTTCGACAGGTATACTCTTATTGCCGGGATTTGGTAACGAATTAGGTGCTAAAACAGCACCCACTTCCTCGCATTATTTCTGAATTAGCAGTTTTAGATAATTCAGATATCAACGATTATGAGACCTGCAACATTCCTTTAAGCGTTTCTTACGCTAAGCCAGGAAAAAAATTGAACAAACAATTTGGAGCGATTTTCGAGAATATTTTTATTATTATTGACATTAATTTCAAGCAATTTAAACAACATCTGCTCGGTTTTCAAAAAATTGTACATGGCCTTTTTTAATTTAGATTTTTTAGAACTGATTTTTTTAAATGTCTTCAATTGTGTAGTTTTGAAATTGTAAATTTTTGGCATTTTCCGAAATACAGAGTTTGCCAGAAATGAAAGAAGCAACACTTCTTTTAGTGTTTCCATAGAAACGAATTGAATGAAGACGTTGTTTAAAAAAAAATAAAATTGCTCAAATTTCACGTACAATTTCGCAAACTCTACTCCTATTTTCGAAAAATTGACCATGACCTTATTTCAAGATGTCTTTCGTAATTTTCGACAGATCAGGATTTTCAATGAAAACAAAACCTTCTTCTTCACTCCATCTTCAGGCTAAACACAAACAATTACAATCCATTCAAAAAACATTCTCAATAGATACTACGTAACTCATCTTCACATCCACCATTCTTCAATACAATGCTTATTCAAACATATCAATCATCTACATGATAATTTGATATGCAATACACTCACTACTTGTAAAGGTTGTAACGTAGAAACCATTCAACATTTAGAATCCACGTTCTTCAAACTTAAAAAGCTCTAGCCGTACATTACTACGATCGTCAATTAAAATTATATACATTATTGCTCACCCGACCTAAATTACGTAAAGGAACCATAAATTCAGGAATCTACACATATTACATTATATCTCATTAAATATAATAAGTGAATTTTCAGTTTTAGCGCCCGAAAACAATTTCATTGCTTCCAATTTTGCATGCAATTTCATTTACAATGCATAATAACCAATGCCATTACAAATGTACTAAAATTGAAGATTCTGAAACTGAACTTCATCGCTCTACACTTTCGGTATAGGTACTGTAAT